TCAGCAAACAGTAGCAAACAATAACAGTTCAGTCACAGGCACTCACAGTCAGTAATCACAGTTAATCACAGCAACACACAGTAAGTCGCAGCAGCACACAGTTACAGACAGACAGTCAGTAACAGACAGACACAGTCAGTAAGCTTTCCAGCTTCTAATGCTTCCTTATATTGTAACTTCTAACCGCACCCTTAATCGGCTAATTGCCTGCTGCATTGTGCTTAAAGTGATAAGCACTTAAACCATGATATCTAAGTTTTATATATTTATTCACCCAAACCATATTTGGTATCAATGTTATACCTAACACTGTTCAACTATTTACAAAGTGTACTATTACTGTTAATCTTCTCATCACTCCTTATCACCCATCCCCTCCCACTTGTGATTGTAGGACTGTAACTTTGTCGCTTGTATCCTTACGATTTATATTGACTGTTTCCTAGTATGATTTGATTGTTGATTGTACCCTATGACTATCAATAAGTGTTATATGTTATGATTCTTGATTCTTAATGAATGTACCTTTTCTTTATGTATACTAAGAGTATTTATACCAAGACAAATTCCTTGTGTGTCCAATCACACTTGGTCAATAAAGTATTCTATTCTATTCTATTCTGTTCTGTTCTGTTCTGTTCTGTTCTATTCTATTCTATTCTATTCTATTCTATTCTATTCTACGTAATGGAGCCCATTCTATTCATAACCCAAGGATTCATGGGAGTGAATCACATACCTTGAAAGGGATCACTCCCTCCTTTCGGCCGCACATTTGTTAATCAAATGCAAGCCTCGTTAAGTGCACATGAGGGTGCAGAAGGCTGGGGGGTGGGGGTAGTGATGGAATAGGCCGCCTGACTAAGACTACCCAAGGCCTCCCCGAACCATTGAAATATCTCATGCTCCCCACAATTGCTTTCCCCCCACCCAAACTGCCACACTGGGTCTCTTATAATGCGAAGATCTAGTAAGCAGTCTCCTCTCCAGGCTCTCAGCTGTGTGCACCCCTCTGCAGCTCCATTTGAGCCTCCGCAGGTCTCCTCTGCCACTTTCCAGGCTGAAATGGAGCTTCGGAGGGGCCCCTCCGAACCTTTATTTTGGCCTGCAACATGCTGGACGAGACCTCCAGAGGTCTCCATTTCTGCCTGCAACATTCAGGACAAATGTTGCAGAGCCTTTGCAGTTGTTCATAAGGGCAAACAACTGCCGTGATGCTATAAGATTTGTAGTTTCGGGACTTGTTCGTAAACACTAGGGAGCGCTTATTGCGTAATTTCAAACATTCGCTAAAGGTATGCTTGTAATCTGGGGATTTCCTGTATTCTTTTGTTTCTGGACAAGTTCACATTTCCAGAATATAGACTACAAGTAGAAGCACTAGTAGTGAACAGGTATCTACCAACCATCCAGACATGTTGCGACAGACTAAAAGTAAATAGGTGTGTAGTTCACTATGGCAATTTAATCTGTTAGATTGGCAAGCATAAGTTTGACCCTGGTAGAAGGTTATGGACTGAAAGTCAAAGGCAAAATTGATAGACACCAATAGCTTATATATTTCCCATTTTGTCTCATAGTGCAGGAATCAGGCTTTATCTGGATTTTTTAACTATCTTTTCATGGGCAAAGCAAACATTTCTGCTGTGCAACGGGATGGATTAGAGGAAAATATGTCACTCTAAGTATTCACAACTGCTAGTGATACACTCTGTTGAGTAGTTCTGTTAGTAAAGGAAAGCTATCGGATTTCAGGAATACTCACTGCTCCAGTTAAGAGATCCGATCCTGTGAAAGCCACGCTGTTGGGTATGGCAGAAGGGAAAGCAGCCTGCACAACAACTACAAAGACCAGCAGGATGAGGAACATAAAGAGATTGAAGAAGAGCAATGTCCTGAGGAATAGGAAATAGGAGAGGATGCTAGAGCCAAAGCGGCCACTGATCTCCTTGAGGGAATAATGCCAGGGCTGGAGAATAGGAACGAAGGACAGCAGATTGTACCAAAAATTCCGGAAGCCCTGCAAGAAAAATGGATACAGTAGAATCAACTTCAGATGAAAACATGGCAGGAGGACGACTTGGGAGTAATTATCCAATCCCTTTTATCTGACAGAAAATAATAGCGTAGTCCAACATGTATCAGAAAACATGTCACCCCAGACCTCATTACGAGAAACTCTCTCAAGTCTTATTGTGCAGAAATAGGGATGGCAATTACCTCCTTGAAGGGAGCATTGCAAAAAATTAAATGTCGGAAACAACATTTAGCACAATGGAAAAGTGTGCTAATTGACTCTTTTTCAAGCCCAGAACACTATTAGCAAAAAATCATTAAAATATGTGGATAGAGAAGTCTTCCAGGAATTCAGATGGTAAAAGGAGTGCCATACTTCTTCTTCGCCTCCTTTTCGTGCTATAAAAATGGTTGCTGAACAGAAGGATTTGCATCCACTGGAGTGAAGAAACATCCCACGCCTCCAAGTAGGAATTTTCTATTTGCCTGGCAAGTTATATTTCTTGGCAAGGAGACCACAGCAGCCCCTTTTCCTATTTTCCCAAAAGCTCTAGTCTATTTTTCTGAGCCTGTTTGAACCAAAAGCCACTTTTCCCATCCTGTTCACCAGAATTTGGCAAACAGCAAACCCCCTGCTTCATATTCAATGCAGTGACCTAGAAAAATCCTCCTAAAACTTGCTAATGCCTTCTTGATAAGTATATCAAGAGTTGACAAAAAGACCTTCCAGGGTACTTTTCCCAACTCTCTGAAGAGTCACAAATTTCACAGAAAGACTCCAGTAAGTTTCCTTTCTCATAGTAGTCTCCTCCGAGTCTACTTATTTCTCACCTGCCACAATAAAAGTCAAGTGGGGTACATGGCTTACTATGAGGATGTGGTATTTAATCCAGCTGCAGTAAGACAAGCGACCCGTTGGCTTGGGTTTCCTCAAGGTGCCTGAATGCCCACTTGAATCCTGTCTGTAAGAGAGGTGGGGGGGAGGGGAGGAGAGGGAGGGGGAGAAGTGAACTTAAAACATAGCAAAAGTTGTTTTTGGGAGGGAGAGCAGTGAGGTAAGATTCTATCCTCCAAAAGCAGCTTAGGGCCAGAACACTAACAAGGATTAAAGGCACTCACCTGAGTCTGCGCTTCTCAGCCAAGCTTAGCGGCATCATCTGCAGCATGTGATTGCGTTGATGTACTGGCAGGTTCTGGAGTTCTTTGACCAGCAAAATATACTTGGCTATGGAAGAAGTGCAGAGGTGAGGTCAGAAGTCAGGCAGCCCAGCTGCATCTCCAGTGCAAACATTTGGATTACAGAAAAGAAAAAGGATGCTTTCCTTCCTCCACTTTTGATTAAAGGTAAAGGTAAAGAGGTTCCCCTTGCACATACATGCTAGTGATTTCCGGCTCTAGGGGGCGATGCTCATCTCCATTACAAAGCCGAAGAGCCAGCGCTGTCCAAAGACATCTCCGTGGACATGTGGCCAGCATGACTAAATGCCAAAGGCACACGGAACGCTGTTACCTTCTCACCAAAGTGGTCCTTATTTCTCTACTTGCATTTTTACATACTTTCGAACTGCTAGGTTGGCAGAAGCTGGGACAAGTAACAGGAGTTCACTCCATTATGCAGAGCTAGGGATTCGAACCCCCAAACTGCTCAGCGCCTTAGCCACTGAGCCACGTCCCCCACTTTTGATTAGGATCACCTTTTTTTCTTTTAAAGGTACAGGAAAGTGAAAAAAGAAACGGACCTTCTCTCTTAAAAGCAAACATATTGTGGCCTTTCATGGCAAAGCTGACCAAGAAAAGAACCCTGACACAGTCATCTCTGCAGGTTAAATAAAGGAGGCAGGGTACTACTCTCAGTCTCAGGTCTTTTGGAGGTCTTTATTGTTCCGTCTCTAACTGAGCAATATTATCATGGCCTCCCCCAAATCAAACTTGACTCTTCAGGACTTCATGAATACATTCCTAGTTTTCCTCTCCCTGAATACTTCCTAACTTTGCTCTCTAGCGTTTTCTCATCTAAGTACCTCCTTGGGTTTGGTAAAATCAGTCAAAGATGACCAGCTGCTCCATTGAGCAGGACATGTTGTAACTATTAAATATTTTATTTTATATTTTGTTAAATATTGTAAATATTCTTTTCTTTTACGTACACTGAAAGCATTTGCACCAAGACAAATTCCTTGTGTGTCCAATCACACTTGGCCAATAAGGAATTCTATATTCTATTCTATTCTATTCTATTCATCACTATTTTGTGAGAAACACTGAGCGATTACAATGCCTGGATGGCTGGATTATATACTGAGAACGATCAAGATGATTTCTCCGTGATAAAGAAGAGCTGTGGGATGCAGTGGTTAGAATGCAGTATTGCAGGCTAATTCTGCCAACTGCCAGAAGTTCGATCCTGTCTGGCTCAAGGTTAACTCAGCTTTCCATCCCTCCGAGGTTGGTAAAATGAGGTAAGGTATGCTGACTCTGAAAACTGCTTAGAGATTGCTTTAAAGCACTGTAAAGTAATATATAAATCTAAGTGCTATTGTTATTGCTACTCATAATAACTGCACAATAACTTAAATATACACTTCTATTTTTCTTGCACTACTTCTCTGCTTAGCAGGCCTCTTCCTACCCTTTTAGTCAACTTACGGTCTTCTTCTCTGTAACTGGAATCCAACTCTAGAGATATCTGTCGAAAACTAGGCCGTGCAGAACGGGATACTTCCTGGAGAGGAGCACGGCTGCTCCGACGCCGTCGTCTGGCAGTGCGGTTGCAATACTGGGACAGGATGGCTCCTCTGCTGCGTCCTGCAAATGAAAGGGAAGAAAGACTATCACCACGGAGGGGGGGAAAAGAATCGTCCTCTATGCTAATTCCCACATTTCACATGGCCTATCTGGAAATTCTTCTTCATAGAAAGAAGTAGACTGGGGCCACAGGGGAGCATCACAACTCACCAATAGTCCGGCTGGGCATATTCGCAAGGATGCGCAGTGTGGTGGAAGAGAAGTCAGGGTGCTCAACCAGCTGTGCATTTGGGTTCCAAGTTCCAGTCGGATTTGAGGAATGAACCAGGTTTTCTGGAGAAAAAGAAATGGCCCAGATACAGCCTCTCTACGTTGCCAAGTTGCTATGAATTGTCCTATCAAAACTGGAATCTCCACATCTTCCCTTCTTCTTTCTGTTGTGGCCATTCCCCAAATGAGCATGTTTTTCCCTAACAACTTAGACAGTCATTCTAAATTTATTTTACTGTTTCCTACAGCAAATATTTATAACATGATAGATTACCAGGTGGACTGAATCACTCCCTGCTGTTTATACAGGGCAGAGATGCTTGTGCCAATACAGTTGTGTACAGGCAGTTTCTGTGTTTTCAGAAAAAAACAAAAAAACTCCAGACCCAAGCTTCACAAATAACATAACAATAAAATGCTCAAAATCAGCTCTAGAGCAATGAGGTAAAATTCTTGGCAAGCACTTACTCATATACCACTTCATCGTGCTTTACAGCACTCTCTGGGCAGTTTACAATGTCAGCCTATTGTCCCCAACAATCTGAGTCTCATTTGACCGACCTCAGAAAGATGGAAGGCTAAGTCAACCTTGAGCCCCGTCAGGATCAAACTCCTGCTTGTGGGCAGAGCTAACCTGCAATACTGCACTTTAACCACTGCCCCACCACGGCTCACTTTATATGAATCACACAAATGAGTTGTTTTGAAGGGGAGGAAAATAATATTCTTAGCTTTTGATCGGGAGGCAAATACCATCCTAACATTCACTTTCCTAATGGACGTATGAATCATTTAAGTTCTGCTTCAGGTATTTGAATGCAGCTGCCTCATGAAGTGAACCAGGGGTGGGATGCAAATTTTTTAACTTCCAGTTCTATGGCCAGGTAGGCATGGCCAGGTGGTCATGTGACTGGGTGGGTGTGGGTTTTTGTTTTGTTTTTTTTGCCTCCTGGGCCTCAGGGAAGCCTCCTGGGAGAAGCAGTACAACAGTGAGGGGGGAACCAGCTGTGCCGCACAATTTAGATTAGCTAGAAAGCAAGAAATCCAACGATTTCCTGCTTTCTAGCTAATCTAAATTGCGCAACACAGATGATCTTTGGAAAACTGCTGATTGGTGGGGAGGGGGAAGGAAATACCTTGATTTTCGGAGCGAACGCTCCCAGCTGATCTTTGGAGCTACTGGTTTGCCCAAACCAGGCCGAACAAGTAGAATCCCACCCCTGCCTCTTCCGCATAGTCTGCTGATCATGGCAGGAAGATGCCTCGGTAATTTCAAGAAGATATGGACAAAATATTACAGCAAGTGGAAGAGATTGCCTCCAGAAGTTGTGGGTCAATGGAAGTTTTTAAGAAGCCATCTGGAATGGCATAGGGTCTTCTGCTGGAGTAAGGGATTGGTCCCTTCCAACTCTGTTATTCTATATTTCTCATCACCATTGTAATTGCAAATTGTCACTAAATGAGGCAGTTTCTAAACAAGGACTTTCTATCATTCTGTCTCTTCCATCAAGGATTATGTGCCATAATATTGCATGTCAACCGCCTCCACTGGCAAATAATCCTTTAATGCTACCCTGCAAAAATATTCTCAGAAAAATGTATTCATGCCCTAGCTTGACCCAGCTCTCTCAGTGAGCCACTGGGTCCTAAAGGACAGGGAAAGAAGATAAACAGTGTTTTCTGTATTGGCTGAGTTCATCCTGGGTGGAGGGGTTCCCCCTATAGTCTTGGTTCTTGCTCACTCATGGATCCCATATCTTGGTTAATTCTCTTATTTTGATCTGACCTATCACTCTCTAGGCTATCTGCAATGCTGTTTCAGTTATCTTATTTAGTATCATGTTAATCTTGTGACAGAGGTCAGTATTATTACTTCAAATTAAAATCCATGTTGGCTATAAACGTATTGGGGAGCTTTCACTGTCTCTGAAGCCAATCTTTCAGACAGGATGGTTGTGAGGATAAAGTGAGATCATGCGTTTGTTTTTCATCCTACTTTTTACTGTGAACAGAGTTGTTAAACGTAGTTAAGAAGCCAAGGATTTTTGTTTAGCTGTAAGTGCTGGCTATACAGAGATACAATGATTGAAAAGAAAGAAATTGCTTTCTCTTCATCCACACTTTGTTAAAAGCTGTAACATCAGACTGCACAGCCTTTTCACATTGTTTTCTGAAGAAAAATCAGGAAATACCATTTAAAAGTTACACAACTTTCTCCTCTACCCCAACTATTTACCTACAAATTGAATATTCCTGATAATTACAAGGAAGTCTCTGTGCTATATAGACGTGGTTTGACTTACCTTTGCTCCTCTTAGTCAGATCTTGCATCTCTACCAACTCTTGCTCAGCCAAACTGCTCTGCTCCTTAATTAGCTGGTGGAAGGAATCATGCACGGCCCCTTCATCATATGGACTTAGGTCTTGGCTGTGGGGAAGAGATAAATGGTCTGCCCAACTGTTTCATTAACAGGATCCCTAAAACAACAGCCTCTAACATCTCACCAACTTCACATGGGATTTAGTTAGTAGTTGGGAATATGTAGTACTAAATGGCAGAAGGCAAAACATATTAGAACATTACAGTTCTTATAGCAAATCATGACAGAGTCTAAGACACAAACAATGCATAAGAGGGATGGAGAATAACTAACCACGTCATCAAATATGATTTACAAAAACTTCCCCTCTGGGCCTTCAGAGCTTATGTAAGCATCTGCTAATGGGCACCCAGGAGATCTACATAATGAGAGTGAAACCAAAGCCTTATATGTTTAAACAATAAACTACAAACAAACAACTAAGTCTGGATTATTACACATTGGAAAGTAGTTTTGTAAGGTAGAGATTAATCTCAGCATCATATCTTTTAGCGCTCTAGTAATTGCATTTTATTGTTCCATTTTTATTTCTAATTTAATTAAAATGTCAACATATTTCCATCTGAATTCTGTAAATTCTTATTACATAGCCGTATTCTGTTCTGGTATATTCTGTCCTAAGTCTAGGGAAATAATGATTATCCAACAATCAAATATTGAGGTAGAATGAATCAATTCCTGTCTCTTACAGGATTTGTAATATATAAATCCTGTACTTTTGATCTCTGTGGCTAAAATTCTGTTAATAATAATTTGTGGATCTTACTACCATATGGTTCAATAATGGACAAAACATGTTTCGTATGTCTTAAGGTCAGATTTAAGGCAGCGATATTCAAAACATTTAGAAGCAATGACTAATATTTTCCTAACACTGTAGACTATTCTGAGAATAACTGAAATCATGGTAGGGCAATTTATGCACTACCCACTCATTCCCAAGGATCTACATTGGAGATTATAAATAGTCCCAATAGTAGAGAATTTTTGTAGCTCAGGGTTGAACTTTGGGGTCCCTGGTGCTCTCTGAGCTTGGTGATTTTCTTGCAAACATTTTATTACCAAACTAGGTAACATCATCAGTGCATATAAATAGCCCTTCAACTTTTTTTCCAATGTTGATAATGATTTGTATTTGTTACTGGAAACTCCTCTCCCCAGCTTTCATAAACAGGCAACAGAACTCCTGCATACCAACATTCCTCCCCATGCTTTATGATAACAAGAATTCTAATTGTAGTATTCTGATAATTCAATATAGAAAAACAAAAGTCTTATTTTCAGGCTTTTGAAAAGGGAGTTTTGCTTTGAAATCAATACGTGCTAATTTTCAGCTTTGTACCTAATTTGGAAGGACTCTAACCATCTGATGACATGCTTTCTTTTTCTAAGGCAGGAATGAATTCAGTTCCTATATACTTTTTAAAAATGTGCTTATTTAAAAAAGAACCACACTCACCTGGCAGGGTCTCCATTCTCAAGGTCCTGAAAGGTGAAAGTCACAGTGTGGGACATTTTTGATAAATAACTCCACAAGTAATTTGCTGGTCTCTGCACTTTTCAGTTCCACCACATTTCCAAATGCAGGTTACGGAAAGAATCAATATCACATGAAGCTGGTTCCATTGAGACGATTCAGGCTCTACATCTTCTAACAAATTGTTCGGACTGTGGTCTAATATCTGATGTCTTCTTATTCCCTCTCAAGATCAAAAAAACAGCAGGCCACAATGTTCAAGCCTATAAAGAACACAACTTCAGACACACAGAGCTGTATTGGGTTCTCCTGCCTCCTCCTCCTACAAGATTTAGAAAGTGTGTATCTCAAGAGCTGCCTGGTCCGCTGTGAGCAAATCACACAAAAAGGAAGGAAAACAAGGTCGAGACAAAGGCTGCAATTCAGGCTGGATGCCTGCATTTCAGACTATGCAAACATAGCTGCTGGCCCTCAAACTTCGTACTTCTCTGACTTATAGTAGAAAAGAAAATCATTTCTGCAAAGGAAAGCGGAAGCTCCCTTGCACTTACCTGCAGGTGCGTCTCTGAGTTTCACTAGCAGAAGACTTAACATAAAGTTTCTCTTGACTATCTCAATCCTTGTCAAGCAGCCCAGCTATATCACTAAGGGAGATAAGTAACCCTGCATTTCAATACTCCAGGATGGGCTTGGCTTCCAAGGGTTAGTAAAACCCAGTTCTTGCATTCCTGAGAGAAGAATGTGAGTGAACACCAGCAAATGAAGCAACCAAGCTTCCTGCCTGACAGGAAGTTTGTTTCTACCACTGGCTGTGCAGGTTCAAGGGGCTCAAACTCTCAATAGAGCATGAGAAGAATGAAGAAAGGAAGTGAGGTTGTTGCAAAACAAAGCATCCTGTCGGGGTTCAACACCAGGAAACTGTCTGGTTTGTTCCCTGCCGCTTAGCTCAGCAAGAGTTATGACATGCTTTTACTGTATTCAGGAAGATATTTTGTTTTTCTTTAGAAGACGCTAGTACTTTGCTATACTGATACCAAAGAAATTTATGGCATCTTTGCTTTTAGAAATTATAAACTTGTGGTTTCAGCATAAGGTCAGTACATACTCTAAGTAATTATCTTGACCAGGACAGCTCTTGACTGGGAGAAAAAAAACCCACTTCTGCTTCTCAGTCTGAACTCTCCCACATTATTTATCATTCCATTTAGGAAAGGTCCCATACTCTGGCTGTTGAGATATCTGACTTTTGGGAGATCTTAGGACCTCTTAGGACCACCTTGTCATGCAGGGTGGGGCAAAATAAAACCTCATTAAAATGGCAAGAAAAAGACAGCAGCAAACCAGTCTTGACCCGTTTTAATAATTTAAAAAATGTGATTTTAACTGCAGCTTGCAACAATACGTCGCATATTTTTATCTTCTGATACAGGGACAAGGATGGTCCACCCCAGAGGTTGAACATGGACTATCAGACGTCTTTGTTCCAACCGGATAAAGACAGAATCCAAACTTCTGAAGGAACTCAAACTTCTGAAACACAAATCCTCAAGCCTTGTTATGTATTCTCACCTCCCCGTTGCAAAAATTGGAAGCCAGCTCCTGCTAAGTAACAGCTTCAGGACAAAGATTGTTGTGAAGTAGCAGCTTTCAGTGCTTTGTAGAGCCTTAATGTTTTCCTGATCCCAAAGTACACAAGGGTAAACAAAGCTAGAGAGAGTCATGGCTTTGGGGAACTAAGGGTGTGGCAACAGAAGAAAAGCAAATTTAGCTTACCTAACAGCTGCTGTTTTAAGATTTTCAGAAAATCCTGAAGCCTGAGCTACTAGTTCTTGATATTCCAAACTTTTAACATATTGGGCCTCAGCTAGGCAACCTTTGTCATCCTTGCTGAACAAATCAGGCAGCAGCAAAACTCTGGAACTTTCTTTCTTTCCTGGAGTTGATGGCTCTCCCAGTCCTCTTGTATGAAGGAAAACATCCAGTAAAGAATGAGCCAAACAGGAATTCCCCAGTACTTGCTGGGGAATGCTGGGAGTTGAAGTCTATAAGTCTTAAAAGTTGCCAAGGTTGAACACCCCTGCTCTATATGGAATGTCTTTTCACATCCAGGAGATGGCTGGGAGAACAATCCTGCTCATCTCTGGAAGCAAGGAAAGCATCCCATTCTTAACAGAATAACAGAGTTGGAAGGGACCCTGGAGGTCTATTAGTCCAACCCCCTGCTCAGGTAGGACCCCTATATCATTTCAGGCAAATGGTTGTCCAATCTCTTCTCAGAAACTTCCAGTGTTGGAGCATTCACAACTTCTGGAGGCAAGTTCTTCTACTGATCAATTGTTCTAACTGTTAGGAAATTTCTCCTTAGTTCTAAGTGCTTCTCTCCTTGACCAGTTTCCATCCATTGCTTCTTATCCTGCCTTCAAATGCTTTGGAGAAGAGGTTGACACACCCACCCACCCCACCCCTGTTCTTTGTGCAACCTGATAGATATTGGAACACTCTTCATGGAGAAGGAAAACAATTCCACCCACTCACTAGTTCTCACAGGAAGAAAGACTTGGGGAGAATGAATTGTCTCTCCACAAATTTTGGTCTGCCAAGATGTTTGGAGAACAGAAAGACGAACGGACCAGGTGAAACAGGTATATTCCTGTTCAGTGAATCATCTCCACTTCTTTATTTTCCTAGCTATCCATTGGTTTATTCTGCTATTATCACCTCCTTGGTTTTTTCTGAGCAAACCTCTCCGTCAATGTTTCTCAACCTTAGCAATTTTAAGATGAGTGGATTTCCACTCCCAGAATTCCCCAGCCACCATACTGGATAGGGATTTCTTTGGAGTTTGAGCCTACACTTGATTGGTGGTTTCACTTAACCAAAGATCCAGCATACTCTGGTACTGGTTTTTCTGCAATGTTCCATGACACTGCCTTTATCTTATTCCCAACCCATGGATGAGGCAGTCATAAGTCACCTTTAGCTGTACTTGGTTAAATTAGTACTTTTCGGCTTATTATGACATTGCCAGGGGCAGTCTGAATAGTTTTCTGCTGACTCAAGGATGTCCAGGAGCAACTCAACAGTAGCAGCGATAGAGAAAATCTTTTTTTTAACCGTGTGCACCTCCCTCAATGGTGCCACCCACCATTTTTTTTAAACAGCTTTTAGGCAACTACAGTTGCAGCTAGATACTGGCACTTTTCTTTGCACCACTTCAATTTCCATTTATTGTTTTAAGTTAAGTAGGATATAAACAAATCGTTAGATGGATAAGGTGGATGCCAAGAGAGCTGCCCACATTTGCTCTAAAATGCTTCATGTTTGATATGAGCAGCGTTGGGTTCTTCTTTTTTTATGAAAGTTCAGTTTATAACCCGTTACCCCAGCAGGCCCATCATGCAGATTGGCATAGGGATTACATATAAATGTCAAGCTTCCTGTTCTTTCAGTTCCACAGAATGCAAGGAGCCAGCTGCTGCGTAAATGATATGCATGAAATGCATTTGCTTGCCCGTCATGGCTGCCCGCCTTTCCAATGAATTAGAAGCCTTTTGTCCTGCTTTGGCACCAATTCAACTGAATAGCAAAACTTTTATCACTGTCTAAGCCATTCAAGATGATGTGTATACTTTCTTCAGTCTGCTTTGGAGGATATCTACCCAGGTGACCATTGATCTGCACAATAACAATTATCTGTACTTTCCCCATTTCAATAGTATTTATTTTTTGAGGGGGTGTCTTCAAGTGTTTTGCCATGCATATATATCATGAGTTTATAGGATTCATAGTCCTCCCCCGCCCTTCTCCAATTTGCTAGTGAGCCACACTGTTTTCTCTCTTAAAAACCCAGACCGGATTGTTCTGCTCAGTTCAGAAACAAACTACAACTGAAGATCATTGGCAGCATTTATACTAGTTGGTGTAACCCAAATCTCAATGAATTTTGGATCATTTATTGGTAGCCACACCAGGGAAGAATTTATAATTGGCATGGTCGCTGCTGAGCTCTAAGGAGCCAATTTGGATTCATCCAGCCAGCCCATTGCCCTAGATCATTCTCCCATTCATGAGTGCATGCGCACATTACAAAAATAGTGTGCAGGAACAAGAGAATGACTAAAGAGAAAATATATGTTTTGCTTAGACGTATTATATTTTCATTAATTTATTCCACCATATATTGTGTGGTGAAACAAAAATATTTCAACCCTCATAGAATAACCTCACTGCAGTTCTATATTTTTGCCAGTATCTTTGGTATGGCCCAGAGGAATTCATAATCATAAAGCACAGTTGCAGGGGAAAGAAGAAAACTGGATGAGAAGGTACAAAAGTTATCACCCAACAAACTGGCTTCCATCAGAAAGCTGGGAAATGACCTCACAGGAGGTTGTCTCTTCCTAATTCTGCCAATTTCTCCGGCAGCTCAGTACTATATCCATCAAAGAAAAACATAGGAAGAAAGCTGGTCGGTTATATCTTTAATGCATTTGGTAGCTCATTCCTCAAAATAAAAATTACAGCCTGGTTACTTACCAACACAAGGCTGTCCAAAGGCCACCTTAGCTCCTGAAATATGTCATGGTCCCAAAGTAAAACACTGCCTCCATCAAGAGCATCCTATTCTACTGGCTGATGGCAACCCTCCTTTACATTCTCTCATTCAGGCAGCTTCGGAAGAATGGACAGGCTGCATAACCCAAGCTTTTTGCTCCCGCTGTGCCAAGTAGTCCAGCCTGCTGTCTCATCTTCCACCCTCCCTTTTCTCTGGGCATATTCTTGGCAGCCACCTCCTTAAAATGAACTCTCTGATACATCGGGGCATGATCCCAAAAGGGTTAAGAAAGAAAAATGATTTTTCCAGCAACTCTTCTACTCATGTTCATGCTGAAGATCCCAGCCTATTTATCTGGGAGCAAGATTATTACAATTATTGGTGTTTAAACTTGATCAGGACCTTAGCATTTTTAAATTTTATTTATTTATTTATTTGCTTAAAAGTGCTCTTCTGGAGGGAATGATGAAAAAAAATGAGGCAAACCTAATCCTACAGTACAAAACATAGACTTATTCAGAAAAGGCAACAGGCTCATTTTCATTATAAGTAAAATTTAAAGTCCAGAAATGTCAGTGCTTTCTTGTTTCTGAGGATTCTGCAGAGTTTTACATTTTTTTTTATCATAATAGACCTACGACCCACGAGATCTATATTTAGCGAGAAGCACCACTTCTTCTTGAACTTCTTACTAGGAGTAAATTATGCAGTATGTGGGTTGTAATAAGTGATATTTTATTGTAAAGAAGCAGACCCAGTTTTCCCAGAGAGATCTCCCCGTTAAAATCTTGCCTCTTTTGATTTGACTCTACATTATAGCTAGTGCTTCTATTGCCCCGTTCAGATTTTCAAAAGGTAGAAAGACGTACTATTTTAAAGCTGAAATTTTAAAATGAAAAACCCTGCCTCATTTGAATCCAATACCTTAGGATCCTACAATTAAATACCGTAATTGATTTTCTCTGGGCCAAATAGCAAGTGCTTATTATGTATTTGTGTTTGGGGCTCGGAATGCATTAGAAAGAAAGTAAGATCATGTTTAGTGCGTTCTTTCATTCATTAGACTTTTTAGTCTGCTTCATGGTTCGACCCCTCCAGGACCAGGGCCTCACTTCTACAAGCAGCTTCTTGGGTGTGAGAAAGAATCACAAGGTCAAT